ATGGAAAATTGTTATCTACATAACAAACATACTTGCCTTTGCCCACTTATCTTCTTGACCTGTGGGGGAATAGGACTCAAACATTTGTTGTAATTTTGACAGTGTTCTAATTAATTATGATATAATTTCTTCAGACTAGCCATGGATACTGCAACACATCCTCTTTTACATGATATAAATGTCTATGTTGCTCAAGATTGCACAGGTATGTCTTTCTCTTAAATGTCACATTAGGACACAGTAATGTGATGGATATTACAGTTACTGCTAATTGATTTCTTCTCGGAGTGCCACTTGACTTGCCCAAACAGTCCTTTCGATCAGCTGACTTTGTGGCCAATCCGAATACTCGATTTCTGATACTTAGAAAACAGAAAGTTGCCGGCCAGAAATTCTGATTTCTATTTTCTAAAAACAGGAAACTGAACTTATTTTTCCAGCCTGATTCAAACCTCCAAAACCCAAAATGTACAGTTGCCTCGTGTCCTGATACCTTGGTTGCTGACTAGCAAAATAAGAAGTGGAATTCTGATTTCTGTTTTTGAAATCAGAAAACAGAAATCAAATTTTTTGCAATTCTGATTTCTGTTTTCTGATTTCAGAAAACAGAAATCAGAATTCCACTTTCTTATTTTGCTAGTCGGCAACCAAGGTATCAGGACACGAGACAACTGTACATTTTGGGTTTTGGAGGTTTGAATCAAGCTGGAAAAATATAAAGTTCAGTTTTCTGTTTTCAGAAATTAGGAATCAGAATTTTTGGCCGGCGACTTTCTGTTTTCTAAGTATCGGAAATCGAGTATTCGGATTGGCCACAAAGTTAGCTGATTCCTTTCTTGTTCTGCAAAATTCCCATTTTTTTACTATGAGAGTATGAGTCTACCAGTTAATCATTAATAGATTCATTTATTCGCTAAAAAATGTGCTGTTTAGATCTGTCCTCTGTGCTGTTCGTCTGTTAATACTAATCGACATTGATCTTTTATTCAATTTTAGTTTAYAAAGAAGAGGTTGAGCAACTTTGTACAAACTGTAGAACACATCGTAGAAATTGTAATTACGGTAAATGGCAGCCTGTTATTATTCTGGTTCCAGTGAGATTAGGAGGGGAAGCCCTTAATCACATATATATACCATGTGTCAAGGTATGACATACATGTAGTACATGATATTGTATAATYTGTGAAATTTAAGGCAATCTGATTGGCATCTACAAGGCATCTACAATTGTTATATGCTAGAGACTGGTGGTCTTCCTCTATAAAAGCCAGTGATTTTTAATGATCAAGAAAAAATATCAGAAACAGAGCAAACTTTGACAGGCTGTTGAAAATTTGTTTTGTCATTATGATACGCACTTTAATAATATCCTAACATACTCTTACATTTACATAACTAGTACATATCATGTATGACTGTGCTTATAAACTTAAGACATTGTCTTGTTTCAGGCACTGTTTACTTTAGATCAATGTATTGGTATTATTGGAGGACGACCAAAGCATTCCTTATACTTTGTTGGTTTCCAAGGTAACTGCACATGATTGGATATATGTTTGTGATTTGTTTGTGATTATCGAGGTACATGGAAATTTGGAGAGATAGAGCTCTTCTGCCAATGTGTTGGACATTTTGATACAATAATTATGTACATTTAGTTCCTTACTTTTGACTTTCCATGTAGATGAGAAAATGGTTCACTTGGACCCACACTATTGCCAAYCAATGGTTGATATGAGCCAAGAAAACTTTGCATCTGAAGTAAGTATGGCTTATACCAACTATAATCACAGGTATCCCAAGCTAAGTATTTGACATGTGTGTTTTTTATTCTTATAGTGAAATACATATTAAATTTCAATTAATTAGATAAACATGTCTTCCTGTGTGGTGTGTTGTTCATTTCTGTGAAGTTTCAGGCAAATTGCTYCATTTTTGAGTGATTTATGGCTGTTGTTCATGTTCTYCAGCCTAATCATATACTGTAATCAATCCCAGATGATTAAATTATRATCATGATAACTACACTTCAAAGACTTACTGCAGGTTCATTTATTTTCAGTCTTTTCACTGTCCACATCCACGTAAAATGTCAATCAAAAAAATGGACCCATCATGTACAATAGGCTTCTACTGCAGATCAAAAGAAGACTTTGAAGACTTTTGTTTTCATGCAGCTGAGGTATGGATGAATAAATAATATGAGTAATACTGCAGGGTTAAAGTACAYTGTATTTAGTACAAGATCAGTTTTAGAAGAGCCTCCTAGTATTCATGTAGTTTGCCAATCAATTTCAGGTTCTAAATCCACCAATGCAGAAAGGTGATTATCCAATGTTTATCTTCACTCAAAAGAGAAGTCCAATTGTGAATGAGAATGCAATCCAGGCAGCAAGATTCTCAGATAGTTTTATTGATCCACCACACAAAATACCACYGCCTGAACATAACAGACATCAACCAAGTACATCAACACCAAGGGACAGGAGCTCAACTGCTGAAGAATATGTGCTACTATGAGGAAGTGATAGTWTGATGCATGCTTTTCTTAGGGGTAGGGTTGGGTTGATTTGTCATCCTGTTGGAATGGAAAAGACTTGATTTAACAAAGCTGTGGGGAAGAGGGTACAGTTTTTATTGTGCTTGAGTRAGGGAGACATTGTTGGTGATTCCGCTGTGAAGGGCAGCCTGGGTRCACTTTAATGCTTTATTTTTCTGGGGAGGGGTGAGAAAGGTTATGCACRATTTTTTGCATTGATYAACTGAGGGTTTGATGTTGTGACATTTCTGGTTTGTATGGGTTTATTAATTCTATAGAAAATATTTTATATGACAGGGGTTTATTTGCTGCAATGTCATGGGTGRGGAAGGAATGTTATGGAGTAACACAAACTTACTTCATTTCAAAACCATCAGATTAAATGAAAAGTGTATTTATTTACCAATCAAAATTTTTTCAATAAGTACATATAAAAAAATAAGGCAAGCCAATAGGACAAATCAAATTACAAAAAAAGCAAAAAAAAAAAAAAATGAAATCCAGAAATCAGTTTACTCCAGCTGTGTCTAGCAGTTTACTGGGTTATCCAGAGCCCATAATGACAGTGAGGAGAATCTGACTTTAAGACTCTTATTAAATTCATCTAATAATTTATTAGGTTAATGTGCAGTGGAATGTCAYTGCAGTGACAGCATCTTTATATGAGCAAGAGATTTGTCCTGATTTTCATTCGACTTTAGGTTTAACTTTCTCTTACAAATGATTATTTCATCTTGACGTTTTCTGCAAAATATGTTTTAGGTTATCTTGAAATTTGATAAGCAATAYAAGATATTTGCATCSGACCTTTATTGGCTCTAAWACTGCTTGCTTGCAGCTTGCAGTTTTATATGCCCATAAAAGTCTCCCTCTCATTTTATATATTACTGCATAACCAGCAATGAAAAGTCCAGATATTACCATGTGAAATCATGTACCTTATATCATTATATCAATATCATTCCTTGTCTTATTTTCTCAATTCTTGTGAGAAACAAATTGAAAGAAAAGTCATTGATCATCCAATGTCTACTTTGACATCCTGTGCTAGGTCAGGTGTGGCTTTAGGTTGTGGTTTTAAAAACATCTGATAGTTTTGTTGTGTGTTTTTTGTATGGTTTACCATATGACTTGTGGTTTCTTCCWCACACCTCATCACAGGTAACCTGTTTTTCTGTGCACATCAAAAATAAAAGGGATGATTTGATATAGTCAGAAATCCTAAAAATCAATAGTGTTGCTCAGAAAATAATTATAGTGACCAACAAGTGTTTGATCTTCAGCTAAAAAAACATCAAAAACAGAACAGAAGAAATATTATGATTTTTTCGTATTACTGCATAATAATTGCATAATTTGGCTCAACTTATTTATCTGTTGTGTCACAGCATTGTTTCATTGATGTGCTATTTTACTGGGCTTGATTGGCAAAATCTAAAATAAACATATAATTATAAAGTATTAATTTATTCAATTCAAAACATTTATATCTAATTTTGTGAATACTGTGTACAAATATTTGTAAAGAAGAACTGGAATTTAAAAGTTTTATAATTAAAGAATAAAGAATTTATATCATGAAAATGTTGTAGTGTTGATGTAATTGTCAAAGTTACAGCTTTCATTATCTTACTGGATATTATTTGTATTTAYATCGTATAAACTTATATTGTATTTTCTTGAGGGTAATTTAGACTTTTGTTATTGTTTTTTGATGTAAGACTTTTTTGAAAAAAACTTTCAAAAAGGAAATGAAATCATTGAAAAAAGGGAAAAAATTGAAAGAGCGAAACAGAAGCGAAGCTAAAAAGTGAAACATAATAGAGGAAGTTGCTTATAAAAGCTGTGGTCTCCCGTCCATCTGTCCTGACGGGGTGCGACGTCTGCGCGTGTTCAGCMCTTCCCAGTTATTAGAAACACAGGCAGCCCATTTTGTATATTTGACTAGAAATTTTCTTATTTCGATTTTTTTGTTACTTTTATCATATCTGCTGATTAATGAAAATTCATTAATTAAAATATTCATTTTTTTTCACGAGATTTTACATTCAATCTCACAAACCAGAAATGAAGTACGGGCACTAGAACAAGATAGTGCAGAAAAAATATTAATCGGATGGGCTACCTGTGATTTGAATGGGAAGAATCGCCACTGCGGCCGGTGTGGCAGCGCTTCAGATATGTTTTAGCCACAAACTCATCGTTGTTAAAAGTTGAAAAAACAAAACAATTATATGCAAGGAATTATCTTTCTGAAGATTTGCAACTAAAAGAGAGACAGAAATCTGTATTTCTTGCTCAGTTTTAATACATGTAGTCTGCCCGCCATGAGGTCGTGTTATGGTCGACGAACTGTTTACCAGCTTCTGCTTCTGTCTGGACTAATTATTATATTACGCAGTGAACACGTTTATTCACTTACAGAGAAGAACTTTACTAATGTTAGCGGAACGATAAGGCCTGAACTAGTTGAAGGACRGTATGAGAACAACCTACACTTGGTTTATAATGTGAAAGTGCCAAGCGGAAAAAGGACGAAGCTGATTTTCAACACAACGTTTGATGTTTCAGGTGCAATGCCAAACTGCAGTCAAGATTCCTTAGAAATATTTGTTGGGTGAGTACAAATAGGGTGCATTGGGCCATGTAATGCAGACATTTACATTATAAAATTAATAAGCATGCATGGCCGCGCCTCATTACCATAAGCTTATTTGTTTGAAAGTTCCGCCGAATTGAAAGGTTATGGAAAAAATACAAAGACYATCAACTGGATAATCCAGTCTTTCCTATTTAACCAGCTGCTGAATGACCAGCTAAGATATGAAGTTGATGTTCTATCTGGAGTAGCAAGGCTTTGTGGTTGGTTTATTTCTTTTTTCGTTTTATATAAACAATCTTGCTGAGAACCTAGAGCAAGAATCAAGACTATTTGCCAAGGACACCATAGCTTATCTTACCATTAAAAAATTGATCTAGACCCATAGGCTACCCAACTATTGCTTGAGAGAAAGAAAAGAATGAATGAGCACGCTTTTATTATCTTATCRCGCTTGGGTTACCTGTGGTATATTACATCACGATCCCGTGCCTCGCGGGATACAAACTAGTCTGTCACAGACTAGTTTGTATCCCGCGAGGCGTGGGATCGTGACGTAAGGTAACCCGCAGCACGCGCCGATTCGATAACATACCCGCGAGGCAAGGGATCAATGACGTAATACCACAGGAAACCCGCAGCGTGATGCAATTCGATAACATAATATAGAAGCGTGCGCATTCATTCTTTTCTTTCTCTCAAGCAATAGTTGGGTAGCCTATGCTAGAACCTGATATTCATCAAACTGATCTTTAAACTTTGCTGAATGGGAGAAATTATGGAAATGGACTTTAATGCAGGAAAATGCGAAGTCGTCCTTGCTGGACAAAAATAGCAACCACCAGACCCTACGTACCATGATAGCTCAAAGTACCTGGGTGTTACTGTGGTTTCTTCTCACCAAAGTCGGAAGATTCAGCATTTTCTTGCAGCTTGTGATTCTTACATCACTAATAATCTTTTTGCTCTTGTTGCTAATTAAATCCAGTAAGCTCTATTTCTGAATTATGTGCATTTGCAAATGTTAATAATATTTTTTGTTATTCAGATGTCAAAAGAAGTCACTTGGGAAATTTTGTGGAGGGTCAAAGCCATTGGACATCTATTCTAAGGATGAATGCATAACACTTGTATTCAAGTCAGACTGTAATAAAACTGGTAAAGGATTTGAAGCTTTTTATTCATCATTTGACAAGGGATCTTCAGTCAGCAACAACAGCGCATGCAGGTTAATTAGTGATTTATTTAGTATTGTATTGCTGAAGGGACTGGGAACTGATCATAGAGTAGCAATATATTTACTCTGGTTCAGTGAGCATTCACAACTTTCCATACGCAGGTTCAGTGACAACGAACAAAGCGTTGAACCGAGGAGTCAACACTGATCACCTTGATGCCTCAGCTCAATGCTTTGTTCATGGTCACRGTAGAACCTGAGTATGGAATATCGTTAATAAACAAAGCAGTGAGGACAGGCATTATCTATCGTAGTCTTAAGATTTTGGACAATAAATTCCAGGGCTTTTAAGAATTCAAGAAAATTAAAGTCTCCTGGCTTTTTAGGAAAAAGGCAAAACTTTCATTCTTTTTATGTATTRTATATGATTGATTCATGACAAAAGTGAAATATCAATGATTTTCAACTTTTTTTATTTGCAAAGTGGTCAATTTATTGATGTCAAGATTTGAAATTCGCTATATATAAAAAAGATCTGTGTGCCTATAGTGAACTTCTTCCAGTTGATGTTTCTGTTTGATACTTTGTTTGTGGTTATCTAGAGRGGATTTTGTAGGACTGCTCAAAAATCAGGTCATTTTCAAGCAGTAACTGTATGTGCCGTGCCTAGTCTGATGTGTTCTTAAATCACTATATTTCGTTTGGAATCACTACTAGACCAGGTTCCATAACTGTGCCGTGTCATATTATCTGTGTGGTGATATATGTGCCTTTGCACAGTCATACGAAATCCACTCTACTGAGCATGAATGAATTACAATATGATATCACCAACCATAGACTCTTCAAATTCTCTTTGTTTAAATAATATTGATTGTCAAACTCAAAAATCTTTCATTTTTAGTAATTTGAMYCAGAGCAMTGTGGGTAATTTCTTTTCRCCTCTCTGGCCAAACCATTACTCTCCAAACTTGACGTGTGTTTGGAAACTGACCATACCCAATGGCTACAAGTCCAGGATTTACTTCATGAACCTCCGCATTGAAGACAATAATGCATGCAACCCTCWCAGCTTAGTGGATGACTATGTGAGAATAGAAGGTACAGTTTTAGTTTAAGGGGCTGACATACAGGCAAGTCAAGTAATAAGACACTTTCAGTGGACAATGTACAGTGATTTTTTTGCATACAACTTTAAATTTGATTTTCTCTTACAAATGATATTTTGTCTTGAAGTTTTCCAACGAGCAGTTTTATGAACATTATATTAAGGTCTCCAAATCATATTTTAACTTCAGAAACCCTTATAAGTTTCTGGTAACTTTGAACTCTCTTCATCTTTCAGCATTCAATGGGAAAAGCAATGTTACTGTAGAGCGGCGATTGTGTACRCAATATAGCGATAAAACGTTCTTTGTCAATGTTGATGAATATCCTGTTGTYTATGTGGCATTCGTCTCTGATAAAGATAGTGTCGCAGTGGAACAGACAGGTTTTGCAGCTGGATTTATGTCATACAAGCCTGGTATGTTTYGCATGATAGTGATGACAAATTTATTATATTTCAATGGACAATATAATGTAGATACACCTACTTGCAGAAACGTTGTCATAGAAAATTGAACATTTGAATTTATTAAAAGGAATAAATTAAAACAAGACAAAAGAAAGCGTTCAGTCTCAGTGATCTTCTTTTGTCTTTTTTAATTTATTCCTTTTTACTTTCGCAAGTAGGTGTAGACTATATTTTTAAAACATTTTGCATAAATTTTCAGCAGTCAGTCATCCATTTATTAAATCAATTATGCATTCCCTTCTATTCATTCATTTTTCATTTTCCAAGTGACATGCAACACCTACTTCTATTCACAATCCTACTGCTATTGCTTTTTTACTAACAATATAATCTGGCTATATTTTGTAGAATTAAACTTTATATTCTTTTAAATCCTAGGCGATACAGTTGGTGACTACACGTATGTATTATTAGCATTATTGCACAATACGAAGAGCTATAAGCTAGAAATGATTGAGCCTGCAACAAATGTGTTGTGCTTTGTTTCGTTCAATTCGTTTTATGTGTGGCAGCGACCTCCTATTCGTAAAAAATTAAAAGTTGTTGATAAAAACGTTTCTGTCTTCATGTGGACAAAGAAAACAAAAAAAGATAAATAATGTTTCAAGGATAGACATCGTAGACTGGTATGAAATTACTGATAGATCTAACGTGGTGCTATCGTCGCGCTACTAACAATAATTGAAGGTGGCAAAATGCAAAAACAAAAAACGAGTCTCATTGGTGCAGTTGAAACGAGCCACAGGAAGTTTAGTTGTCTGCGTGACTCTTTGTACATCATGTTTACCCATTCTGCAATGGTTACGAGACATATCAAAATGATGAAAACTAGCGGTAAACTAGTGTGAGCTGCATCGGTGTTTCTAAAGAAACAGTTGTGTAAAAAGATAAATTTAACACCGCAAAAAAATAGGTGAAACAACATTTTTGAAATCATATTAAGGTTATAATCTGAGAGTGGTAGATTCACTGTAGTGTAGTGATATGTTTTAGCATGTCCATCATGTGTTTATCGTATGGTGATTTCAAAAGCTGATGGACYTTGAGWTGTCTTGAATATCGATCTGTGAATTTACTAGCAGCACACCCGCTGCTATTCACAATTCCACWTACAGGTGGCAAGCTAGGCATTATTGTCTGGCTAGAGTAATTAACTTATAAGTCATGTATAAATAGCATTTTGTTCTGTTTTAATGAATCTCAGATATATTAAAACAGGTTTCAAAACATCGACAAGAAAATTACGCGTTTTTACTGTACATTTAAAGTTAAAGAACCTAGATTAACCCAGAGTATTGCCTGTTTTGTTTTATAGGTGTGGTGAGATATCTGTGCCATCCACGCCCAATACAACCTCAGTGCCCAGTACAACCTCAGTGCCCTCTACAACCTCAGTGTCCACTCGTAATCCAAGGTGAGATTCTTTGTATTTCCAACGATTAATATTCATACCGACGTTTACAGTTTTCAACGTGAAAGTATAAAGGAACAGTTGTAATCCACAGTGCATTGCGAGTCATTTTTTGAGCTTCACGTAGTCATTTTTGAGTCCAGCTTCACGTGGAGTCACTTTTGAGTGACGTAAGATGACGGATGATTTGTGATTTTTGGCATCGATAAAAGGATTTATATTCTAATTTCACGATTGTATGTATCCCTTGTAGAGAATGATGTGTTCAATCCAATACTGTTTCAGTAGTYACCTTCCTGATGCATGATTTCCAATGCATTGTCTCCAGTAACCTCGTTCCTACTTTTTTCTGTTTGTTTAAATAATACAAAGTAACGGACCTGGAAACGATTTTTCCATAAGTGAAAAATCTAAAATACGACCGCATTAAATGCTGGTCTACCATGGCTCATATCGTCATCTTTGTGCGGATATCAGCATTACTCTCACCACGTGTTATCATTGACATCATTATCTCGTTTTTTTTTCAGCGGCAATGCGATGCAATCATCAATATCTGGTGTGTTGATCGTGATATTTTCGCTTTTGGCTGCTCTCTTCCATCAGTAGCTTGATGTGGCATTGGTTACCACGATTGATCTTAAAGATAATATGATAGTTGGACTGTTTMTCGCCAATCTATTTCCTCATTTACTACGGCCTGCTGGCTATGTTAGAATGCCTTTGAACCAAATGTGGGCTCCCTGTGTAATTTAATTCTAGTAGATAAAGGGCTCGCCATTTGACTTTTGCAGGATTGATGCAGGAGATTTATATTTCAAATGATCTACCCCTCCCTCAAAAATCAAATGGTTAGTCCCTTAACCAGTATGTAGTTGCACCATAATGCTGTACAAAGATGAAATGAGAAAGTCGACTAAATGACAAATGTATAAGCCAAACCAACGATAATATGTGCAGACAGCATATCTATATTGCTAGCTGTATAAAGACCTATGTGCATCCTTTTTTGCCAATAATCCATTGCTGAAAGCTGCTTTCTGATTGGTTCAAAGATGTGAGAAAATCGCGCAAAGGTTCACGGATGCACGTGGGACTTTAAACACTTAGAAGAAACATTAATTGCACGGTAAATTGTTRTTTAGCTACAAAATATAGTTAAACAAAGACCAATACTAGAGTAATATATAAAAATTTATTTTGGTTTTCATAAAGCCATAAAAGCGCTTAACAGATATATTAATAAAACATCTCCAGGTTACTAGACCTTACTAGTTGAACTCTTGTAGTGAAGTCGTAGATTTTTCAACACCGTTTTAAAAAGTTCCCCGTTTCTGGTCTACTCAGTGCTCTCTTTTTCTGAGCCGCGCTGTGATGCCCARTATTTTGGCCGCCAATTTAAAAACATTCGTCCAATACGCCCTCTTCCCGTTCAAAGCGAACAGCCGCTGACTGATTTAGTTGACAGCAGTCTCTSATTGTGTGCTAAAAATGTAGATAAAACTCGTGAGATTTCAACTTATTTCCATTGTCTTCTATACTCACAGATCTCTTGCATTTGCACGGGCTGTTGTGAATAAAAGAATTTATTACATGGTTTTGAGGCTAACACATCGTAAAAGAGATCGCTAAAAGGGTTTATTGATATTTTCTTTGATGGTTTTCAACCATTCCCATGAGAGTGGTACACTCTGCAGCAGCGCAGAGCTATTGCCCGAGCCTTTCTTTGATATACAAATTCCACAATGGTCTTGCTTATACTGATAGTGATATGTTAATTCCTGTACCTTATACTACCACTAGGGCATCTGGCCATTCATTCTTGTTACCCAAAATAATACGTAATTACTACAAATACTCTTTTTTTCCTCGATCACTGAAAGACTGGAACAATCTACCGCCTAAAATAGCACTTTCCCCTACACTAGCGCTTTTTAAAGCCTCAGTGGCTGACCTCATAAGAGTTTAGATATCTTTATTCTTATTTTTCTTTTCTTTTTACTGTAACTTATTATTCTTTTTTTTTCTATTTATGTTACAGTCATAATATTCAGTAATGAATGCGTGACTTATTTGGTAAATAAATAAATAAATAAATAGAGTGAGCAAAACAAAAAGGTCCACCAGTCACGGTGGTGGTTTTCTTTTGTCAGGTCCAMCAGCAATGGCGGACATCTTTTRTTCAACTTTCTCTCCTGGGAATAGAATATAGTCCATGAGTAAAAACATCGTCAGGTTGAAAGTAATTYGAAAATCTTCAGCACTAYCACTGAAAAATAATTTGTACATTTAGTAAGTTYGAGGAAATCAGTTGAACATTCGAGAAGATGGGCAACCAGCCACATTTTTTTTTCAGACAATAACTATTGCATGATTCATTTATTCGTTTGAATTTGCATCTGAATTGATCTACTTAAGTTACTGTGACAACGGCTCGCAGTTCATTGGTCAAGTCGTTCAAATGTGTGGTCAGATTGCGTCTCAGTACGATTTTGCTGTGTCACTCTCAGCAGTCAGCTGTCAAGAAAAAGCAGTAAGCAATGAATTTATCGGAACATCCATGTGACCTTACTTGTGTAACAAAAAGGTAATATTTACAATTGTCGATAAATTAAGACCGTATAAACGACTCGTACTAGTAGCTCATAAGAATGAATATACACAATAGTCAAGTATATAGCAAGTATCAGACTCGTACCCAGTCGTTACTTACGCTCGAAGTATGCAAAACATGAGAGTACAAGAAATATTCCCTTGTGAATTGGAAGATATATATRTGACAAGTATAGCCACAGTACCTACGTTACCAGAGTTATAAAACACSTTTGCCAAGCCCCGTGCGAAACCCGGGCGTACAGGGGAAGGCGTGACAAACATTGCTTTGAAAAACCTGCTATGATAATTCCATTCAGTTGACGGTGAATTGTGTGTATTTTGAATTCAAATAAGATATCCTACTAGAATTCGGGCCTGCGTTTAGACTACAGTACATATGGCTTTTTTTCGTCCTTTTAGTGTGCCAATCTTATTTTAAAGCTTGCAGAAAACTCAATCAAGCGGAAATCACTTAGTACATTTGAACAAAGACTCTATTTCTCGCGCCAAGGTTCATCATACAGTATTGACTCGCCGAAACGAATGATACTCTGGAGGATAAAGGATCAACACATTTTTCTATGGACTGTTATGTAATATGACAGTAACCACACAAGCTACYAACCCTCTCCACCCTAACATTAATTAAACCTCTCYGCCGAATGCTCAAACATATTCACTACTCAGGCAAAAAATAATTAATAATTCAGCAGACAGATCCTTTTACCGATCTCTTTGTGATCACAAGATCACAACGAATTGTTCAGTAATTAAACTGCAGAGCTTTGTTTGAAAAAA